CCGCTTGAGTTTTAAACCACATAGGAACTAAAACAAGCTTATTCTGTAAATTTAAAAAGTAAATTTAGAAAAATCTAAAGAAAATGGATTTTTTCGGAGAACGATTCCTTAAAATTATTCCACTATAATCGAAAAAATAAAACTACATTCGTCAAAGTTTAATATTGTCGATTTCTATCTGTCGCGAATAGTAACTCGAAAACTTGAACTATTGAATAGGAGTTAAAAATATACTTATCGTATTCTTCAGCGTATTCATAATTCAGACAGTAGAGAATTTTTCAAAATCAAGCTATCAAAGCTGTCTACTCACTATCATTAGAATTACATTATACTTCTGCGAGATGTATACTTATCGTAAATGCCTGTCGCTCGCGTTATGGAAAGAACATGAATGTATAGAACAGTATCTAAAATATTGATTTATTTATAACTAACACTTATCATGAAAAAAAGTTCTTTCGAGGGAAGCCTCGAAATTCACGACACAATTCATGACTACTTCTTTGTGAAATATGGAAAATAATAGAGAATATTATTACGATATTAGTAAGTGGTATCTGATGTTAGTCGGCCAATGGCCTTACCAAAAGTTAAAAGAGAGTTTATTTTTCTTGATTTTCATACTCTTTCTTGAGACTTCTGCACTTGTTACACAGGTAACATAAACATAATCTTTATTTCAGAAAAGAAAAAATTAATGTAACAGAAGTTTATTAATATTCTACGTCGATTTGAATAATCTCTTTGTTAATTAAAATTACAAATGGATATAATCGCATTTTTCAGATAGCAAAATTTGTCATATGCGATAATGCGCAATGTATTTATGAAACTTTACCACCACATATGCTGACAGTGATGATTTTGGTGAAAATTTTCACATATCAATTTAACAGCCGAAAAGTATGTTCAATTAATATGAATGATGTCGACATTTCTAATTTTAAGCTATCGACACGAATAGTTCCTTTGCAAAAGAAATCTTCTTGACGAAATTTTATGTATTTGTTGAGAATATTGCATCTGAGATATCAAGTATATCACTGATGTTTGTAGATTAAAGATCTCACAGATCGCTTATTCGTAGACTGGGATATGCTCGAAACTGTGGAAGAACACAACATTATGAGAAATTATGCTCGAAACGGCAGATGGTACGCGCTCATATATGGCTGTATGTAATTACTTGATTTTAATTAAGAAATGGAAAAAAAATTTCCTTATATTAGATGTAGTAAAAAGAAATCCATTATTTTTGCATGAAATCGAATGGAAAAATAATGGATTTCTTTTTACTACATCTAATATAATTAAAAAATAAAGATAATATATTTTCTTTTATATCTTAAATATAGTATTTAAATTTATCAAAAGTATTAAAAGTTAATTAAAATATTCCAAGGTAATTATATAAAGAAGAGATCAATATTTTATCAATGTATAATATCAAAATATAAAAGATGTATATTGCACAGAAAAGAATTTTTATTTTTTTATAGAAAAAATTCTTGAAACATCGCGAGCTGAAAATATTTGAATATACAATTTTATTTTGTTTATACGATAAAAAATATTGAGACATTTTATTTGACAAAATAGAAATATGTATTGAATAGACATTAAAGGGAGGAGAAAAAGTGGGGAAGGAGAGAAGTTCTGATGAAATATTACATACATTTATTGAAAAATAAAATATTTTCAGCATCATAATTCTTAATTAAAAAATAATACTTTAAAAACAAACTCATTTTGATAAATTTTGTCTTCGTTTTTTTTGCAGCGTATGTTTATGTGTCTACCATTTCATTTACAACAACCTCTCTCGCGCCACGCATTTTGGATATTGTATTTCCCTTGAATACTTCTCGTCCTATAATGTTAGCATATCCGGCATACTATTTCGTTGACGAAAATCAATATTTCTACTATATTTTTCTCCATATGTTACTTACCAGCAGCGTGTGTATGACCGGATTAATTGCGCATGATAGCATGTTTTTTATTTACGTCGAACACATCTGCGGCCTTTTCGCCGTCGTTGGGTAATTTATACCGAATTATTTATACCGAAAGAAGATCACATCTCTTCTAGTTAGAAGATAAATAAAATTCTCTGTACGGAAGAGTAAATATAACGTAATAATAGTTTTAGCTTTTATACGTTACTTGGAAGAGTGCAGAAGTTAATTTTCAAAAACTTTCTAATAATGTTGTTTTGCGCGAATACTTGCAGATTTAGATTTGAAAATGTGTCACACAAATATAGTAGTACGGAAAAAAGTCTAATCGATTGTCTGGATAACGGGTATCACAGAAACGTTGTTTTTTCGATTCGCGCTCATCGAAAAGTTTTACGGTGAGTGTGTAATAATATTATAACACATTTTTCTTTTAATCTCGATGCTATTTAACTAGATCTTTGATAATCTTTGCTGATTTTTATTTAGACATTTAGGATACGTTCCGAAAGTACATTTTCAGTGTATTTTCTTATTTTTCAATAAATGATAAGACAGAAAGATGTATTGCATTTTTGGAACACAGTCTTTTAATTGTCATTAGTAGACATCGAATTCCTATGCAATATTTTTTTAGCAAACAAATTGGAAATAGATATTTGCCTTATTAAAAAAGCATTCTAAAAATGCATATTTATTTATGCATATTGTGCATATTTGCACATTTGTGCAAATTTGCATATTCTGTGCATGTTTGCAAAAAAAATGCATAAAAATCCGATGTCTAGTTATTAGTATCGCATTCTTATTCTAGGTTTGCAAAACTTCTCGAAGATACCTTTTCGATATCGTTCGCTGTGCAACTCTTGATCGTTACAGTTGGCTTGAGCATTACCTTAGTACAAGTTAGTTACGTATAAAATAGACAAATACTCTAGAATTCTGTGATATAATAAAAAACTAAAATAGGATCTTATATTTCTCGCATTCAAGCTGTCGATGCAGTTACATGATTTAGCAGAAGCAATGAGATACTTCGTCTTTATTATTGCTCAATTGTTTCACTTGTTCTGCTTAAGTTTCCAAGGACAAAAGCTGATAAGTCATAGTCTCGAAACTTGCGACAAAATGTAAGAAATAATATTAACTCGGGGGATACTCACATGGAGTATTTTTATATTCAACGACAAAAAATTAAGAATTTAGAAAATAATTATGAATTGTCGTATTTTATAGACATTTAAGATATTTTTTAAATAATATTTATTCTTTACGAATCTTTAAATATGCAATTCCTTTGAAATCCATAATAAAAGAGTTATATTTATTATAATCTTTATTTAAAAAAAAATAAATTTATAATAAGCTACTTAACATATTTATTCCATTTATTATAACATTTGTTTTTTTTCTATTTATATCTTTAGGAAATTGTGATTAAATCTATATTTATAATCTATTCTTCTAAAAAAACTAAAAAAAAAAACAATCAATAATATATACAATATATTGTTAATAATA